GAAACCGGGTCTGGTTTTCTTCCTTACTGCCCTCTTTTATTAAAATTAAAGCTACTGGTAAATTATTAAATTATTAAAATTAAAACTACCAGTGTTAGGGACAAACTTAGAAACCTTGCGGTTTCTTTTTCCTTGCAATTTTCGTTAATCAATTTAGAATGTATACATGATGCTAGTCTCGTACTATTAATGTACAATGTGAGTCAATAAATATTATTGTGTACCTCCCAACTCAAATACATTTTCCGATTGGAGGAGAACGTGTCACGTGTCGTGGGTCAAAACTCACTAACTCCCAAGGGCGAACAACAACTTGAACTTTCGACTCACACGTGATCAGGTCGTGCTCCTTGAAACCCCGGCAAATTTGTGAGCCAGCCGGCGTCAAGCAAACGATTTCTTTGCAGTTTTTTTCTATTTTTGAGTTGGGAGGTATAACAAAACACTTAATGACTGGTCCCACGGGAAATAGTGAATTTTGTTTCCCCGAGACCCTCAACGTTTGGAACATTGAGCTCAATGTTCCAAACATTGAGGGCCTCGAGGAAACAAAACTCACTGTTTCCCTTGGGGCCAGTCAAAATGTGCTTATTATTATTGCTATTGTTACGTCAGTATAATACCAGAAATATCACGTTTATAAAGCAATTCTTTTAATTTGGTTAACATATATTTCTAACGATAGGCCAGCAATTTGAAGATGAACTGTTGTACCTTAAGAAGCGTTTTATGTCTGAGGTTGTAACGCATAGGGAACTACGAGACATCAACACAGAATTCTCGAGGCTCAATCTCCTACTCGAGCTTTGTTTGCTGATTCACGAAATCAAGATCCTGACAGTAGACCTTGAAGATTCTCACCGCCAGATGATGACTGCTGTTCAGGAGAAACTGTCCAGCGGTAAGCGCCTGGAAGACGACAAGCTGGATGAGATGATGAACAATCTGAAGGCTGTCAGGTAATGATTATGTCCCTAGTTAAGCCACAGTGACATTTGTAAAACAAATCAGCTGAGTGAATACATTACAAAAAAATTCGGTCGCGATTTTAAATTCAGAAGAAAAAAGCGTCCGAAAACAAAACCATCGGAAATTTTGAAGAGTCCGAAATAATTACAGTGCAGTATAAGACTTTAAAGTAGCTCCAAAGCTCTTAGTTTCCTTTATAGAGCGAACTCTCGTTGAGACACTGGTTGCGATACGTAAGAATTTGTGCGATTTTTTTCGTCGGTGTATCGGTAAAACCTTTAGGGTGCCGTAAAACTATCATTTCCACTAATGTTGTTCCTGTGTAATTATAATTCGAGTTTTCTAGGCGTAAATTTGACTTTATTACTTCAAAAGTTTTGTCCGAAATGCGTAAAAAGTGTCCGAACTAATTAAACATGCGAAATAAAACGTCCGAAAGTTTTACTCCCGAAAGGTTTTTGCAAGTAATGTATAGATTGTGACGAGATTCTTAGTTTAACGTTGTTCTTGGCGTCAGCGCCGTGGTTGCTTAAACTCCTTTTGGAGACGGCCATGGGGGAGGAGGGAGGGAGTAATGAAGGCCCATGGGTTTCTTTAGAGACCAGTCTGCATGCAAGCTTTCCTAGGTGAATGAGTGAATGAACGAACGAACGAAAGAAAGAAAGAGAGAAAGAGAGAAAGAAAGAAAGACTTTATTTTTAAAAGTGTCGATGATATTCAGCTTAAAAAAAACTAACTGGGGGCACTATTTACACATTAGAATTTTTGTGTGTGATGATGGAGGACTCTTTCATCCATGCCAGCGAGAACGAGAGCTTGGTCGCAAGCTACTTGGATACTAGTTCATGATGAAAATTAAAGGAACTAGGGTAGTTGCTTTGGTTTGTTTTCGATTTGGATCGCATGTACATTTTTTTTTAATTTTAGACAATCTCATCCCGTATTGTCTCGTTTGACTGAAGAGGACAAGAAAGTGATCGTTTCCGCGATCGGACTATCCAAAGGTCACTGGTTTAAGTGTCGCATGGGACATATCTACGTCATAGGTGAATGCGGCGGTGCCATGGAAAGAAGCACGTGTCCAGAATGCGGAGCTGTGATTGGTGGAGCAAATCACCGACTGGATGAAGGAAATGAGCTGGCTCCTGAGATGGACGGTGCAAACCATTCAGCTTGGTCTGAACAGGCAAACTTACAAAATTATGAAAATTTACACGAAATCGTTTAAGTTGCTCTCGATTGGAGGAACAAATTTAAATATTCTACCTTCATGAGTCTTTTTTCCATTTTAGTACAATTCTTAATGATATTGTCTAGAACTAGTTCAACATAATAACAATTAGATTATGAGCTCGAGATTTCTATGAAGTGATAGTTGAATCGGCCTTCGGCTTCATCAACTATCACCTCATAGAAATCGAGAGCGAATAATCTAATTGTTTTAGTAGAATTCTTACTAAAATTTACCGTAAATAACGGTTTCTAATTATTTCTTGACATATTAAACTTTGCGCCTGAAAGAGGTCGCTCGAATTGAATTGTCATTTAAAATGAAGTTGTGTGCGCGCGCGCATTAGTTCAATAATTTCCACTTTTTGACGTCAAGAAACCGTAAAATGTCCTTCATTTTGACTTCTCATTTAATTATCCATTTGCATCAAAATGTTCCTCCAAAACTTTGGATAAACGAGAAAAACGTCGCCATTTCCTAGACGACCTGCAACCACTGCACACTAATGGCTGATAGTGTTCAATGGTTCAGCCAATCAGATTACAGCATTCGCATTAGTATACTAGTAGAATTTTACTAATAATCAAGAGTATTTTCATTTTATCACCCTTGGGGCCAATAATGATATTATTGCACTTTTTTTCCTTAAATATGTAATAATTAAAAAATAAAAAGAAAGAAGACGATCATAAAGAAATTAGACATTACATTAAAGGCGAACTGATGTGCTCTATATGAGGGTGTCAGTGGCGGATCTCTTTGACGGTTGACGGTTAAAGATAGGCAGTTTTGACGGTTGCCGGCTAAATTTTAGGTAATTTGACGGTTGACATTTAACCCCATTGACACCTTCTAGTTTTGAAAACGAGTTTATCCAATTAGTGTTTTAAGAAACTTATATGGTTACTGCATGGTAAGGAGTATTTGTATGCTGATAACAAGGCTTAATTAAGGCTTAAAGACCTTTAGAAGTTATTCATAACACAACAGGAAATACGGCAACGAAATGAAGGGTGTATCAGCATGATACACTCGGTGGGCTGTTGATCGCTAAGTCACTACTCATCATTACTTAATCCAGGGGCGGGTCTAGGGGGAGGGTGCAGGGGGTACGCGCCCCTCCCTGGGAGGAAGCCTTCTTCTTCGTATTCACTTTTAAAATTTGTTTACCCTACCAGTCAGTTATGACATTCCTTAGTGGTGCACCCCTCCTAAGAAAACTCCTGGATCCGCCCGTATAATCTTTTAGGTGTTTTGGCCTTTTTGGCTCTTTCTGTCCCTTACTCAATTTCTAGCTGGAAATTTTACTTGTGTAATTGAAGAGATTCTTTATCTAGTTTCTGTGTTATTAATTACAGTGGAACCCCGCCTTACGGCCACCTCATTGATACGACCACTTTATTCTGGTTCGAACAAAAGCTCAGTCAGTCAACCCCTTTAATACGGCTACCCT